CCGGGCTGGCTCTCAACGGTTTGTTGAACATCTACACTACATGATATAGCACCCTTCCGTCACTGGCTTCGAACGGTAACAACCCGCCTCCCACACAGCGATCGACTCCTATGATGGATGACTTCTCTGTAGGGGCCTAAGTACAACGAAGGCATTCCGTTATGAACAACCTACAGAGCTTGGTTAATATTTGCAAATGAGTAGTAGGAGATTCGATTTGTATATAATATGATTCATCAAGCAGCTTGAACGCTCAACTCACCATTGAAAACCATGGAAGCACTGTACAGCTGTTTCATCCTTGTTGGGAATCATCAGCAGTGCACATCCACCGAGCCCCCACGGGGACTCGAACCCGGGGTGAACGATTGTGAATCGAACACCTTAACCACAAGGCTATCCGGGCTGGCTCTCAACGGTTTGTTGAACATCTACACTACATGATATAGCACCCTTCCGTCACTGGCTTCGAACGGTAACAACCCGCCTCCCACACAGCGATCGACTCCTATGATGGATGACTTCTCTGTAGGGGCCTAAGTACAACGAAGGCATTCCGTTATGAACAACCTACAGAGCTTGGTTAATATTTGCAAATGAGTAGTAGGAGATTCGATTTGTATATAATATGATTCATCAAGCAGCTTGAACGCTCAACTCACCATTGAAAACCATGGAAGCACTGTACAGCTGTTTCATCCTTGTTGGGAATCATCAGCAGTGCACATCCACCGAGCCCCCACGGGGACTCGAACCCGGGGTGAACGATTGTGAATCGAACACCTTAACCACAAGGCTATCCGGGCTGGCTCTCAACGGTTTGTTGAACATCTACACTACATGATATAGCACCCTTCCGTCACTGGCTTCGAACGGTAACAACCCGCCTCCCACACAGCGATCGACTCCTATGATGGATGACTTCTCTGTAGGGGCCTAAGTACAACGAAGGCATTCCGTTATGAACAACCTACAGAGCTTGGTTAATATTTGCAAATGAGTAGTAGGAGATTCGATTTGTATATAATATGATTCATCAAGCAGCTTGAACGCTCAACTCACCATTGAAAACCATGGAAGCACTGTACAGCTGTTTCATCCTTGTTGGGAATCATCAGCAGTGCACATCCACCGAGCCCCCACGGGGACTCGAACCCGGGGTGAACGATTGTGAATCGAACACCTTAACCACAAGGCTATCCGGGCTGGCTCTCAACGGTTTGTTGAACATCTACACTACATGATATAGCACCCTTCCGTCACTGGCTTCGAACGGTAACAACCCGCCTCCCACACAGCGATCGACTCCTATGATGGATGACTTCTCTGTAGGGGCCTAAGTACAACGAAGGCATTCCGTTATAAACAACCTACAGAGCTTGGTTAATATTTGCAAATATTAACCAAGCTCTGTAGGTTGTTCATAACGGAATGCCTTCGTTGTACTTAGGCCCCTACAGAGAAGTCATCCATCATAGGAGTCGATCGCTGTGTGGGAGGCGGGTTGTTACCGTTCGAAGCCAGTGACGGAAGGGTGCTATATCATGTAGTGTAGATGTTCAACAAACCGTTGAGAGCCAGCCCGGATAGCCTTGTGGTTAAGGTGTTCGATTCACAATTGCTGATATTTATCAAATTGATTACACAAAGCACTGGCATATTACACAATGACGTAATACCGTTGACTTCTTCGATTTCAAGGAATGTAATTGCATCAGGCCACAGAGTCGACCGGACTAAGTTTTGCAAAGCCTTGATGCGCAACCAGATAACGAGACAATTAGAGTTCAGCGAAGCGATACATTTTGTGGTGCATCAGCCATCGCTCTGAGCGCAAAAACGACTGACCAAAAATGTTTGCTTACCTTGGTATTACCATAACCGATCTAATTCCCCATAACCTGCGCCCGGTAGGTCCTTTCGATTATGCCTACTTTACTGTTACATCTGCACCCCTGCTGTGAATTATATGTGCTGACACGTTTGACGTTTTCGGTTGACAAGAGGAAGCGAAATGCTTGGATCTTGTGACCTGTGCGTCCTTTCCGTTCGTTTGCTTTTAATCCGCGGGTTATCTTAGTTCCACAGCAACTTTTACTGGTGAGAAATATGCCAGAACACAAAAATTATAAGGCCTAGACGATCAGCAGGACGGCCATTGCGTTGGTTTAATTTTTCGACATTTTGGCTACTAACAAACATAGAAGTAGCTCGGCGCGGGCAGCAGTTTAAATGGGCTCAAGCATGTCCCCAAAGTTTTTCACGACCTAAGAAAACTCTGCAGATGCAGCGAAATGATCCAGTATCAGTTATGTAGACCCATGCTTCTGAATTCTCTTTCCAAGTTTGGTACAGGAACTCATTGTTTCGAAGCTCTTTTGTTACTTCTACTAGTGGCTTTCCTAAAGGTGTTCTGTCTTCCCCATTTCATTTTCTGCCTATTTCATGGGCACGAAAATACCATTTTGCTCAAGTATGCGACCGATACTATACATGAAATGCCGTGTGCCTACGATTTAAAAATGTGTATTCTGCCGAATTTTCTGTTGCTCAAAAATTAGGACCTTACTCAATAAAGAGTGGTGACGTTACTTCTCTCTTTCGAACGATAGTAAGCTTAAAATTTTCGAAATGACTGCAGTCCGATTCCAATAAACGGCGAACTGCGGAATCATCCTGAATCAAACAGGTTGCTTGGAGAGTTATTAGATTGTAATCTCACTTGGTTTGTACGTATTGGCTACATCTTTTGAGAATGAGGCAACTGTTGTTGTGGATTGCATACCTTAATTTCCTCTCCATACCCACCCGCTTTATCAAGTGCTTTGTCATTTTAGGTCCCATCTTACTGGATATATGCCTCACCTGTAGTATTTCTTGGCCTGATGTTGTGAAGACTTTTCAGCGCACGGAAGGCCTCAGCCGCGTTTACTGCGTGATTAGTCTGGACAAGGTGTGAAACGACAGCGCTAATGAGTGACTTAACTGCTCCAGTGTTCAACCATGCAGGGTGGTGTTCGTGGATGCTTTCAGACAAGCGCCTAGTGGTTAGTAAGGCTGGGCGAATTAGTGTGGTACAGACAGCTATCGCACTCACGACTGAAAGGCGAACGGAACATGAAAGAATCACGTGCGAATGTCAGTGACACGGATTCACCACACAACAACACTCACAGACAACAGCAAGAGTCAAATTGCACCGCTGTCCCGACACAGATATGTGATTAGCTTGGTAGCAGTCACTCGCCATCTGCCCACTAAATCTCTGGTCCCTGATAGTTCACAGCGCGAAGATGACTTCCATTACAGGTGAGCCGAATTTTTGTTGGTAAGTACAACAGTCCACTTGATAGTCTACCGTGAGAGAGGTGAGACCTCTGAGTCAAAAGAGTGGTTGAAGTCCATTGTCATTTTCTTTAATTATTTATTCATGCACATTTATTAATAATAATTTATTTCGAAGTGAGCCCGAGGCATGCTTGAAAGCCAGAAGAAATTTTCATTTCGTATGATGGATAATTTAGGATGCCTTTGGGCTGCATAAAAAGAGTAGCTTAGAAAATGATATTTATCTATTCTTAAGCTTATTAAGGATGAAAGAAAGGGACACGAAATCAGTCCGATTCAAGTTTATCGTTCCTGCAGACGAATTATATTGATTGAAGTACAATGAGCTACTTTTATTCCACCATTTCTAGCCGACTAAATTCACATAAGAATCTCCTAACGAAGTTCGAAGATCGATCACATTGGACGTTAGCTTCTTTTGCACATATTATCGGATCTCATCGACATCACCAAAACATTATGCAACCAACTTAATTGAAAAGTAACTCGGGTTTGGACTTTTCTTCTCTACTCCGGAGTCGAATAAACCTGAATGACATTCCAACAAATAAACTAGGTCATTTTTCCGACCCCTCCTAAGAGCAAAGTGACTTGTGCGCGTGCGTTGTAGAGACTTTCTCAATGGACTAATCATATGTTTGTTTTTCAAAAGTGGTAGGATTGGGGCCGCACTTGAAGTTACGTAGAATTAAGTTGAGGTTGCGAAGGATTCACTGGGAATTTAAGAGGTATTGCTTCGTCATTCCCAAAGCGCAATCACTTCTGGAATTAAGGCCCATCTGAAGTAATGAAAACGCCATCAAAACGACGGACACATCGATGTTATAGGGATGGAGGTGTCTAGCGAACGTCTCATTGCCACTTGAAAACCGAATTTAGATCATGCGCTAACTCCTTACCTCACAGTGTGATTTCCCCTTTTGTATTCGGATGTCCAGTCCTCTCAACAAATTAAGATGTTCCATATTTGACATGAGAATAGGCATCAAAATGTTTGTAAGAGAACAGATAAAAACATGCTTCTGGTCAACCAAATCCATGGGGACTTTTTGATTGTTGGCGGTCGGTAATTAAGTGTTTTACAGCGTCATTGACCTTACTTACATAATCGGGCAAAATACATAGTGAACACAAATCTTCATCAAGTAGTTAATTCCTGATATATTACGGCCTCCCAAAACTGCATTTGTATTAAATATTTTGTCTTGCGTCAACACTCATTTTAATTTCACATCTATAATTAAACTTGGAGGTTGTGTTTGTTTTCGGCCTTTAGATATTTGCCAGAGTCAGTAACTTGGGCAGTTGAAGCCAAACTATGAACTTCGTGTCTAATCTTTCACCTCACCAGTCATCCGTGATTTGCTTGAACCGATTCAGCCTCGTCTCTTGTCTCTTATTACTCCAAATCTTGGTGATTAAAGGGCTAACAATTACTTCCTACATTCTGTCATTCTGCCTGCGTGTGTCGTTGTGCATGTCTGTGTTGCCACGCCTTGGATTGGTTCCCTCAAACTCTCTTCATTATAATTGTTTACACCACTCTGTGCTTAATCATTCGAATAGATTTCTATTTATTCGTTCCATTTGCACTGGTAATTCAGACCACTTGACGGTATTTAAACAGATATTTTTATGGTGGGCATCCTGCTATGTCGTGTGAATCAAACAATGCTGTTTCATACTATGTTCGTTCTTGGTTAACATTCATGGTGACAACGGTAACTTCTCTGATTTATCCTCTTAGTGTCTTTTCATTCTCGGTTATTCACAATAAGGTTGGTGTGAACATATTTCCGCGTCATGATCTGAAGAGGCCCCATGAATAATTTTCTTACTGCTAGGCGAATACTGATGTTCTGTGATAAGATACGAATATTCTTGGGCAATTTTTCACTGTTTTATCACTTGCGCCATTTTTGTCTCAGGATTCAACAACAGTACTTAATGAGCATACACGAATTAAGTTTATGCAGTAACAAAAATAATTCACCGTCCCAACTACAGGCTTTATTTGGAAGCCGGGTACGCGCGAAACGACGTCACGTGTCCAAATCGAGTTGCAGCTGTACACGGACAACGAAAGTTTCCCTGCGAGTATACCATGAGGCGAATCAAATCGAACAAACACTGAAGAGTGAACTCACTAGTTCACACAGCATATGGATCATAGTATGACGCATACAAACTTGTTTGTAAGCATTGTCAGGCGACCTTAAATAATCCAATGCTAATAAGGGCGCCAACAATGCTCTGCCGATCTATCGAATCCAATATGGTCAACCGCTGACTAGTGCAATTCAAATAATTCAGAAAAAATGGAAGAAGGTGATGCCCTTGATGATATACCATTGAATATGAGATCAAACAACCTGTGTTTAACCTTGGTGCACCAGCGGCCGTAAAACACTCCGAAAAGAACTACCAGCCTTCGTCCCATTCAAAACTTAACATGCACAATCTCTAGGCTCTGACAAATCTAAGCATTCTCTTCTACTAAAAAACAAGTTTTAGTAAAACTGCCCACCAGGGAATTTCTCGGAAACTTCGTGTGCACATACAAATGAGGAACATACAATATAAAAATCCATTGTTCACGAAGTAACTGAGAGTTGAGTGTAATAATTTAGGAATAAAAACGGGATAAAATAACACTGCGCAACGCGGTCTTCCGTACACATGCAAGTACACATAGTATTTAATCAGTCACTTACGGTTTCACTAGAAAAATATTTCCATGATATGACTTTCCATACAGTTTCATTGTTCAAATAATCATTGAAAACCATGGAAGCGTTTTACAGCTGTTTCGTCTTTGTTAGGAATCACTGGTGCATGATTTTCATTGGTTTAAACGTTCACCTTGCTCAATGACTCATAACATGTAATCAAAAAAATAATTAAAAATCGGAAGCCGAAACCTAATGGATGTTTGCAGTTGGGCCAAAAATATGGCATACTTTAAGTGGTATGTACATTGAAGATGACCTCTTTTTAGTGCTTTTTAAACCAAGTGATATGCAGCACCGGGTCCTCTTTGCTTAGTGGTATCAGGTTGCAGGGTGGTCAGTCGCAGTTCTAGGTGGACAGCAACAGCGGTGGTAAAGTGCATTCAGCTAGCAACAATTCTAGAAAAGAGCTTGAAAGATGAAGGTGATGTTATAGGAAATTTGGAACCAGTTTAATAATGAATAGGGCCCAACGAGTTATTATTGAATCTGGATCGAACAACCGATCAAATAACCCAGTCTAACTAAATGGTGGAGTACCGTCATCTTCAGGATCTCACTGAGCTAAGATCTACTCTTCTTCATCATCCACAACAAGCAAATTTTATTGGACGTAATCAAATAGCCATGTAGAAAGGATATGGGATGTGCTCCACATCAACAATAAAAGTACAACCGAAATTAGGCAGTGACTATGTGTAAATTATCATCGGTGTAAATAACTTATTGCACACGTGGCCCGCACTGCTAGAATACAATAAATATCATGGTGCAAAAACTAGTATATAGTAGATAAACAGTGCATCAAGACAAGTTTCAACTCAGACCGCACTCAGTGGAACTTAAACTGCGTGATGATATGATATTTATCCTCAGTTCTACTAAGCCCACCATAAAGTGACTCGTATGCATATGTACAGCTTGGGTTATTGGAACGCTTCAACGGCAGATATGTCACTTGCTGTGGACAATAGCGTACAGACTGTCTGCGGTAAACAAAACACTCCCCCCCTCCGTATATTTCATAGTTACTCCACCTTTCACAGACCAGAAATGACGACGAACTTTTGTTGTACCGTATGAACAACCTACGTGGCTTCATTTCAAGGTAGTGCCTGCAAATCTTGTCAGTAACAGAATGAATAGATGGTAAAGTGAGGGGATATTTAGCTCCATTTAAAAAACAAGGCAACTCCGGACTACTTTACTTATGTAGAATGGTATCACGAGCAAGCGAACTATCTAAGTTACCGCTTCGTCCAATGGATTAAATTTCTTCCAATAAATACCGTACGCCAGCCAACATTACTACAACAAGACACCTAACTCCAGGGTCATGTAAAATCAGATGGCTCATTCTTGACGTTATACAAGAATGGTCCTTATAGATGGTAAGGATATATTGTTCATATTGTAGGTTCCCTACAGCACTTCGTAAAACTTATTCCAGATGCAAATATTATGGGAAGACTGACAGAACAGTCCACGTTAGAAGCCTCTAGTTTTACTGTTTTGTGTGGCATTTCAGTTACAGCTGTAAAATGTGGTTCCGAATCGCCGACTTTCCATGAAATGCCTCGAGTCCTTATGATACAGGAAAAAAACCATTTTTTATTCCTTAATTCCATAAGAGGCCAGATCCGACGCGTTATCCCCACCTGGAAAGCCTATCACTTGCTTTCGAAGTGATCAACTTTATGTCTTGACAAAGCCTTTTTTAAACAAAATGTGGTGAAACATCATCTACTGCAGTTCATGTAACATAAATTGATGACTGGAGCCATCCAGAAATGCATCTCACTCGGTCTGAGATTCACATTTTTCTTGATCATTTTCACTATACAAACAGCGATAACGGCTGCAGTCAACCCAATTCTTGGGGAGGGAACTGTCTATCGGGGTTTGAGACACGACTTTGAGAACACAATCAAATATCGATTGGGACCTGCCGCGTACGAATCAAAAGTACACCATAAATTTGTAACCATATGCGAAAGCAGCACAAAATATGCGTGCTCCGAAGCTCGCGTTTGCATTCAGCACACAAGTGCAAACCATTGTCGCATTTTCGCTAGTTCAAACCCTTCCGTAATACTTCAGACTCATTCCCATTTAACTTTGGTATCCACACCCAGTGGTTCATACCAACTAGCAGTTGTGCACCATCCTGAAACAAAGTCTTCCTTGGTAAAACTAACGGAATATATCAACACAGAATGTCTTCGGTTGGGGGCCAGCTGAACCAACAACGCTGTCGATGTTGATGAGAAATATCTGAGGCGAATATTTTACTAAAGGAGTCTAGATTACCATTCCAAATTAGTTAAAAATTTCCCATAATCGACGGCCGGTCTGAATCCGTGTCCTTTGTGGCGGTATTCCTTTGCCAACCGAAATGGAGACTAAAACTTCTCTCATTTGGCCCAACCACTTGGCTAGTCTAAATCCACCTAGACAATAAACGGCCCAATCCCTCTAATAAATTTACTGCTTATCCTGTCTCGCTAACTTAATCAATTAATCAGCAAAGCATAAGTCTTCTATGACCACCCGAGATCCAGCAGACGAGAATTCCCATCCGTTCTTTAGCTGCAGAGACTTTACAACATCTAGTTTTAAATAAACGGAGAGATTCTCAAAGGATCACTCCCATCAAAATATCTACTTTCCCGAAGCTAATTTCAATATCTTGCCCACAGTGCACGGCGCGTTTTCCATATCTGCCCGATGACTGTGTTTTAACGGAGTGCGGTCTGCATAAGGGTCTTCGTTAAAACCCATTCATTGTTCTAAAACCCAGTATGAGGAAGGGACATCTTTACCGACAAAACTCCAAATACCGTGCTTGAGTTAGAGGGGGAACCTACCTCCTGCGAATAAACTAACTTAGACAAGGTTTCCGAGCTTATCTTCAGTCAAAGTACCGGCTACACCGCGTGAACCCTTTCTACCCTGATCAATTTTTTTACCATTCCCAGATCTCAAATTGAACGAAACCCTTATGCAGCACTGCCAATAGCAGTACTGAAGCCGATTTTAGTTGTCTCTCCTAGTAAATGCAGTCGTTCAGGAAAACTGCGGAAAACAAGAAGAGTATAGTTTCCTGCATGAAGAAGTGCACTGATATACAAGGATCCGCTGGGACCTCAAATAATGGTTAGTACAATGCCTAAAGAAACAACGCATATCACTGGAAACGGTTTTATTGATGCATTAAGAACAGGAACTTTATGCGTTGTGTGCAACAGACGAGGATGTAGACCATTGCAGTTTTCTTCTTCACGTGACCTGGTCTACACCTAGAAAGGTAATGTTGGTTCAGACTCATGACACGTGGACGAAGTTCTTTGACTCTTGTCAGGCGCATTCACGTTTACGTGAAATTTTGTAAAGTAGGTACTCGAGCATTCAGACCATTTTGCTGTAACGGTGAAAAGACATCAAAAATAGAGGAACTATTGATAATCGAATATTGAAGTAAATAATGCTTCACAAATGCTCCATAGAAACAACGGCTCAAAGCGTATAGAAATGTGTAAACGAGGCAAATCATTTGTACAGTACGTGGATTTCCGCAGGTTGAATGATTATGCTTCGTGCTTCACCTGCTACTAGTGAGAGAGTTTCGTCTCTCAATTTTTTTTACGAGTAAGATTTTTGGATGTTGGAGACTGACCAGGCATAACTTAGAATAACAATTGAAAAACCCGAAGGCTACACACTCCTGCGCAATATGTCAGGCTTCATAAAAGTCACACAACTCAGTAGTTGGATTCCTCTGGTTATAAAGTGGTGTGGTTTGCCGGTATCATTTTTTATTGGAGTACTCTCAGATTCCTTTCACTGAGGTGTTTTCAGCCTTACCCCGTCTTCAGAATCATCTCATTCCTCGTCAGATTCACCCTGAGGTGGGTCAAACAGAACTAAAAAAACAGCGCTGGTTTATTGTACAGACTGCGACGGACTAGGCAAATTGCGTTGAAAGTGTATCTTTGGATTCCAAATAAGAATAACAGATTGTGATGTTTTACTATCAGTATCTACAATGCATGAGCTGATTGTCGTTATAAATATTTCACAGTAAAATGAGAGAAAATGTCATACTAATCGTTTGATTGCGATTCATCGGTGCTCCTGTATTTATCGATTCATGAGAAACTGTGTTCAAATACTGGTAGGTAGCGTCTAATGAGATGCATCGAGAATACTCGTAGATAAATGCATAGACACTAAGCATATTTTTTCTCCGTTTAAAGTTTTGTATCTTAGAAGTATAATACTGGATTTTCTCTCAGTTATTTGTGTTGTTTTAGTGCGCGAAGCTCTGGATTATTCCCGGCCATTGATTCCTTCATCGTCCGATCCCAACGGAGAAGTAACCACGAATAAGTGCGGAAACTGTGTTCAAGTTTAACTAAAAATCAGCTCTTTATATAGAATGAGGCAAGG